TATTTTTTTCGATGGGGCGGGGTGGCAAATTTATGAGCCATATATATCTTTGGCCATATATATCTTTGGGCTGAATTAGCTAGAGCACGGAACATGTGATAGACATTCAACTGTAATTAACGTGACTGCCCATGCTTGTAATGGTCTTAGTGTATATCACTTATGTTAAGATTTCGGAGGAATGAACTTTTGGTTTACTACTAAGAATATTGATATTGTCTTCAACTTAACCACCTGTTTAATAGGTGTGAGGTTTTATACAAAGAGTCTCGATGTTATTAGGAGTTGAGCTATTTATTATATGAGACTTTCTATTTTGTTAAGTATCTGATGTGGGATTGTGTGTATTCTTCAACAACTTATCCATTGTCAGTGCTCAAATCTCAAACATAAAAGTTGAATCTTGGCTACAGATGATATTGGTTTATTATTTGAGGCTTCAAGGCGCAATCGTGCAATGAATTTTTATTAATCCAATTTCCATAAAATTGCATATTCTAAAGCGCGTTTGGAACTACTTTTGTAGAAAGTATTTATGATCTGAAGTACTTTTTCTAGAAGTGTTTCTATTTGAAGAATGTAAGAAGTTTTATTAAAAATGAAGAATGATGTAATAATTGAATATAGAGCACATTAATTTTGTAATCATATAATACCTTAAAACAGAGATCAGGCTTTAGTTGCATGCTAGACCAGCTTTATCAACCTTTAAGAACTGACCAGTCGATATAGATTGAGCTAATCAGAAGGTTTTTCTTTCTTTCTTTCTGGTTTTTGCTTTTATTAATTTGTATATATTAAATTTCTTGAGTATTTTGCATTAAGAGTTAGAACACTACGGTCACCTAGTACATCTTATATGGATGGATGACAGAGTTTATTTTCTCCCTTTAAGAAATAGTATAAATAAATATCAATTTATATTATAACACGTCTACAAGAGGTTATTTGACATCTTTGTGTTGGAGTGGATAGTTTAGCAAGTACTTGATAAAACCCAAAAGTTGATAAATAAAAAATAAAAAATTTCATTTGAGAAGCTTCCTTTGAAGTGCTGAACCAAAAATCAACAGCATAAAGATATTCAATACAGGGCCAAATTCAATTATAGTCTGATCAGATCAGATAGCCTATTTGGGTGGCACCGAAAGCTACACCAACAGGGCAACACTTATTGCTCTGGTTGTTCTTACACTAATATGTATATTGCATGCATATTATATAGCATTGGTTTGCTTGAAGACAAGTGGGATTTGATAGGGCCCATCAGGAAGCATCCTAGAAGGAGCTGAAACTTGTGTTCTTTTGAGCAAAACTCCAAATCACTTACTTTATAACTTTGTCACACACTAGGCTGGCTTTCAGAACCTCAGTGTAGGTTTTTTTAAAAAACTATTATTTCAACTTCAGAGAAAAGGTGGAGAGGAGAACCCACCAAGCCAGATTCTGTGTAATGCTAGTGCATGTGTGTTTGTGGTGGTGATATATATCATCAGAAGGGGATGGCTGTTTTGTTTATGATTTATGAGGGGCTTAGTCTCTGTGCTTCAACGATTTGGGATCTCCAAGAGATGCGTTTCGCCGCCATTTTCGACGATGTAAGCTTTGTTGCAATCACCATTATCATGGCTGCAGTCTCTTGCTTCATAGCTGCAAGGAGGGCTTGAGAGTTGCTGTCTCTGTTTTTTTGAATGTTAATTAGCTTAAACATTGCACTTGCATGTGTACTAATATGTAGTTTGTATATGCATCAACCATCATTAATGACGTCTAATTGTGCTTTGAATTAATAGCTCGGACCCTTTCATGTACATAATTTTAGTTCCTACCTATGTGTCATGGACAAGAATCCCATATCGAATAAAAAAGGGGTTCGATCACAGGTTATATCGGTGAATAGGCCGCATTTCTTAACAAGTTGCTAACTAGCACACAATAGATACGGCTTTGATGGGAAATGAATCCCACGATGGGTTCAAATAATCAAATCCGTTTTTGTTGTGTGCAAGTAGGCAACCCTTTTTTTTTGTTGTTGCCCTTTTTCATGTGTGGTTAATGAGAATATCCAAATGGAGCAATTAATGAAAATAGACAAAGGACATGTTGCGCAAGGCAGGGGCCACCTTGTTACTATGGTGCGAATGACATAATGGGTCTAGGAGAAAGTGTGCGATTTTCTCCTTTTGAGTGAAGAAGAAAGTAATGAAAATATGATTAGGGTTGAAGCTGCCTAAGCCTTCTCATTATCAGTCAGTGGTTGAAGCTGCCTAAGCCTCCTCATATTAATGATTATAATTTATATGCACATCTTATTGCTAGGTCTATGGTCTTCCGTTGTGTTGCTTTTTGAGTCCTTATTTTCTTTTGGGCTGCATTGTCCCAAAGAGTTCGAGGCTTCTTGTTCTATTTATGTTTTTGATATTCGACAGCGCGAATGCGCAGGCCCTTCCGGAAGTTTGTCCTCCCCAAATCCATTTTGGTGTCCTTGTTCAAAATGCAAGACCACAAGTTGGATTTGGTTTGGTGTCATTCTTTCTTCAAATCTCTGTCTAGTAGCAGAGTTGTATGTGGAGGTTCAAATTCATACTCCATGGCAGTTTCGGTAGCACGAATAGCAGCAATTCTGATCAGTTCCCCTGCTTCGGCGCCTTATTTCTGCCTCACTGGCTACACAGCAATTGCAAAGTGTATGTAATTGGATCAGAAAAAGGAGAGGAAGAAGATCTTGAACTTTTGGAACAAGAGGGGTGGTAATGGAGAAAAGTAAGTAACTGAAAGAGTACATAGTATAATCCTTATTTTGCAAATGTCCTAATGGATGGAACATGCACTAATAAGAATTTTTAACTCTTAAACAAAATAAAACAAAATTACAAAAAAAAACTTACTTGATAACTGATGTTTCAGGTATCAATATTAACCTGGACAATTGTTTGTGGTTCATCTTGTGTGACCCTACGGCTTAGAGTAGC